GTGGGAGGGTGGAACGTGTGTGTATCCCTGTCTTCCTTCCCAACCAGCAGTCTGCATTTGTAAGAGGGAATTCAATTCAAAAATGTTTATGGAGCACCTATGATATCAGGGGTCCTGGTACGGCACTGTGGGTTAATGTGCTGCACTGCAAAGTCAGTTTGAACCGCAAGGTAGGTGGTTCAAATTCACCAGCTGCTCCTTAGAAACCCTATACAGGGTTGCTATGGGTCGGAACCTACTTGACAGCGCTTAACAACAAATTATATGCCGGCACCACTGTAGAGAGTAGGCCCAGTGAGCCCATATTCTATCAGGGGACAGACAGTGAGGAAAGGAGAAAATGAATATAACAAAGTCTGGCGGTCATGTGCAGATGGCAGAGAGGGAGGACGGGGGAAGGAGGACTACCCCCTTATGTGGGGTGTCTGTCCACAGAAGTGATTTCTGGAGAAAACGGCATGTGAAGAGAGATGTAAAGGACATGAAGGTGGCAGTCATGGGAAGATGTGTGGCACAGTGTTCCAGGCAAAAGGAAAAGTACAGCGGCCCTGAAGTGGGAACAGATGCATACTTCGGAAAATACTTCTGATGGCCAGCAGTGAAATTGTGCACTTGTGCAAACATCTTACACCCATGTCTTAAATGACTTTACTACACTATCACCTCAAAAATACGAGTCCAATATCTTACACCCATGTCTTAAATGACTTTACCACACTATCACCTCAAAAATACGAGTCAAGTTCGCTGACTTACCACGTGACGCCACTCCATGAAAATGACAAATGTACTTTCTCTGACGAAAATGGGTCGACCGCGTGCTCCATTTCTTCTCTCTACACACGCAGTAGAGCAAACCATAGCCTGCCTTGACCCATGTTGTTGTTAAGTGCCATCAAGTCAGTTCCAACTCATAAAGAGCCTGTACAGGGTTTCAGAGGAGCAGCTGGTGGGTTTGAACTGCTAACTTTGTGGTTAGCAGTCCAGTGCTGATCCTACAGTGACACATCAGAACTCCAGCATACATGCAATGGTGGTGTGCTGTTGAATTGGTTCCAACTCATAGTGACCCTGTACAGGGTTTCTGAGGCTGTAAATCTTTACAGATGTGGAAAGCCTCATCTTTCTCCAGCCAAGCAGCTATAGATTCGAACTGCTGACCTTGCGGTTAGCAGCCCTACTGGTTACCAACCTACTATGCTACGCTACCAGAGATCCTTTGCATACATGTAGTTGGATGACTTTTTACCATCAAATTCACCCATGTAGCAGCACCAAGCTCAAGAAACAGAACTCGGCCATCACCCTAGAAGATTCCTAAGTCACTACCTACCTCTCCCCTAAGGGGAGCCAATCAACTTCCTGATACTTTGAAAGTAGAGCTGACAGGATCTGTTGGTAGGTTGGATAGGAGTGTGGAAGTGAAAAAGGGGGGTCATTTTAGTGCTATGAGGGGTGAGGGAGTCTCAAAGGTAGCAGCTGGGCTTTCTCAGTCCCATAACTTCTTCAAGATCCGGCACAGACCTTAACAGAGAAGGCCCTCAGTAAGTACCCAGCGAGTGACTGAGGAAAGAAGTGAAGTACGTGGGACGGCTGAGACAGGAAGGACATAGTGCCCCATCTGTCTTTGCTAGCTACATCCTGAGTGATTGCTGGGATGTTCTCCACCTGCCAATGTTCAGCTAGACAGGGGAGAAAGGAAGCTTGATAGGAGGTGGGGGAGTGAGGGGAGGAAGAGACTGGAGGTTGAAAAGGAAGAGAAGGGAGGGAAAGAACAAGGGCGGAGAAGGGAAAGAGCAGGAGGAAGACTGGAAGGGGAGGGAAATTCTAGGTATTTCTCTATACTGAGAATGACAGTAACTTGCGACCTCTGGTGGCAAAGTGGAGCCACTTCTCCAGGTTCAGGAAAGTGGATTCAGTCCTTGGGGTTGTGAGTGCCCTGAAGGAGGTCAGGCGGCCACAGCCACAGGAGATTCCCAGTCCCTGCACCTCGTCCTGGCTGGCTGTCTCTGGCCCTGCTGCCTGCCTGTCCCTCTATGATGTTCCTCCTTGACACCCTCCAGTACACAGGGCCCTCCTTCCACGTATGCACTCCCCGCTCCTTACAGTTCTGTCTTTCCTTCATATCCTAGTTCAAATGTCACCTCATGAGGCCTGTGCTCACTCACTCTTGCCTTCTTCATTCAGGAGCACATCACCGCTGACAACACTCATCACTGGCTGTCCATTTTATCTTCTGCTCCTCAGGAAGTAAGCTGCAGAGCCCAGGCAACTCATGTTGGCCCCAGTCACCGTCACCGGCACCTAAGGAGCATAGGTGCTTGCTGAATTCTGCTTGTACGCATAAGTCAGTCACCATCCTATGAGATAGACACTAGTGCACATGAGGAAACTGAGGCCTGAGACATCTCAGTCACAGTGAGAATATTAATTGGAAAGAAAAGTTATTAGAGTTCTTTGAAAATGTCATACAATGCCACTGTATCTCATTTCCTAAAGAATCAAAGGATACAACATGAGCTTTGGAGCCAGGCAAGGGATCTCTTTGGAATGACATCTTGGATAAGTTCCCTGCTTTTTGAGTCCTACCTTAGAACTCTTCTTAGATCCCAAATGAACTCACTGTAAGTGGCATGTTGTAAGCAGTACTAGTTCTCCTTTAAGGCACAGCTTCCACTGGCTCCAGGGCGCACAGGCATGCACTGTGGGTCAGAAGCAGACGTGGTTTCCAGTGAGCTCCACAGCAGGTGCCGTGTCTGTCTTGTCCACTGTTACGTCCAGAACCCAATACTGTGCGGGCACACAGAAGGCACTCGAAATCTATTCGCTGATTGGTGTTGACAAGGAGGCAAGATATTTATCACACCTGCCACCCACTTCTATGGGGGAGAAATCGGGAATGGACAAGAGAGAGAGCTAGCTAGTGGCCCTTTGCACCCTAACTCAGTCTTCCTGTGGCCTCCTCAAACCAGACTTCACCAAACTTAGTCATTTACAAGTTATTTCATCATTTGTGTTGATATACATCAACTCACTTTCTCACTTACACAAACATAAGGAAACCTGACTCCAGTCATTTGTCTTAATTAATTAGAAGGTTGTTGTTAAGTGCCATCGAGTTGGTTCTGACCCACAGCGACCCTGTATAGGGTTTCCAAGGGGTAGGTGGTGAGTTTGAACTGCCGACCTTGTGAACCAACCCGACTTTGCAGTCCAGTGCATTAACCCACTGAGCCACACCAGGGCTCCAATTAGAAGGTAGCTATAAAAAAATACATAAATAAAAACAATGTGATCTACAGTTACATAAATTTCAGTTGCCTGAGTTATGAGCCTGCCTTTAAAAAATATATAATTAGAGTTAAGCAGAATTTTTCATCTTTTTTTAAAAACCATAATTCTCAAGAAATCTTATTTTATATCAAAGCCCTGTACATACAAAAAACAATGTAAAACTACATGTGAGGCCGTCTGGTATTTTCTAATCTGTGATTCTATTTCACTTTAAAATGTAGGTTGCAGGCCACTAAATTAGTTTCATGATAAATGCATCGTGCACGAAATAAACAGAAAATGCCAAATTAAAACAAAAACAAAGCCCACTTTCTCCCGTCAATCCCAGTAGTGACACCACAGGAAAGAGAACTGCCCTATAATTTTTGTGGAAGTAAACTGCCATGTCTCTCTCCTGCAGAGAGGTTGGTAGGCTCAAACCACCAACCTTTTAGTTAGCAGCTGAGTGTTTAACTGTTGTGCCACCAGGGCTCCTACAAATGCTGGAAAGGCGGGCTGGAAAACATCTGAAGAGAAAAACATTCTCATTCTGTGGTTCCCTTTTGGTTGCGGACCATGTAAGACTGGTCAGAGGTTCAAGGCCCTATAGGCCCGAGTGTAACAAATGAAGCCACTTGGCAGTTAATAGCAGATTGTTTTTCATCAAATTGTTTAGTCATATTTATTTAATTCCAAACATGAGCCCTGGATGTCCACAGAGAAATGCAATATTCCCCTAAGTTTCTAAGTTCAAGATTTTCCCCCTAGAACCAAGGCAGTAAAACTTCCTCAGAGGACGAACAAGGACAGGTTTGCTGGGATTAAGCAGGGAGGCTCTGGAGAGGAACTGCCTGGGGTATATTCACTTGGGGTGGAGTGGTAAATTCTGGGAATACGGGATTAAGGACAATGGGGGCAATGCCCTCGGACCACCCTGGGTTCAATCAGTTTGATCCAAGTGAAGGTTAAACCCAGTAAGGAAGAAAGGAATATTGGTTTAAGTAAGGTTTACTGGCTTAACTTAAAGATCTTGTCTGAATAATACCATTCTTCTTCTGTAAAGATCCCTCCCCGCTTGGTGTGAAGCTCCTCCCCTGAATAAAGCAGAGGCCCGAGCCTCCCCAGGTGTGCATTACTGGTTGGAAGGCATGGAGTAACGATTGCAGTGCATTATTGGTTGGAAAGCATGGAGTAAAGATTGCGGTGCATTACGGGTTGGAAGGCATGCAGTAAAGATTGCAGGCAGTGAGTCGCTGCCTGCAGAGGCCATGATGCCTGTAGTCCCAAGCCTGCCCACCAGTGATGTATCCACCCTGGCTTTGGGGTGCCTCATTGTCTCCCTTCTTCTGTTTGTCTGTGTATTCTTTCGCTACACCTATCGCCGCTGGATCTCCCCTCCTCGTGAACCAAACACTCGTGACAACTATGTCGAGGGAAAACCCCGACACCTTTTTCATATCCCACCCATGAATCTATGCTCTGCATGCGGTAGTTTGGGAGAAACTCGACCCTAGATACATTTCACTCAGTTCTGTCTAGAACAAGTCCTCCATCCACATAGGTGGTTCTTGAGAACAATCAACTGTAGACAAAGGTGCTTAGCAAGCATGAACACAGACACCACTTAAAGATACCTCAACACCTTTATTTAGGTCTTCATTCAGATTCACAGCACTCCTTCAAATCTACGAGTGAAATACCTGTGTGTGGCTGGCACACGTATTCGCTTATCCAACCATGGACCTCTTTCTCCCTCTCAAGCGAACTTCATCCAGCTTTTTCAGCACTGGCCGGGCCTTTTTGGAGGAGGAGGAGTAGCTCTTCAGAAAAGCTTCAAACACAGTTTCGGTGTTGGGGTGCGTACTGAGGAGGGCTTTCTCGAGGACATAGAGGTCCACTCCCTTGTCCTCTGGAAGTGCTGAGATGAAGCTCAGCCCGAAGTCTATGAGCACGATGTTCAGCTGCTCCACAGGCGGTTTCAGGAGCATGTTGGAGGTGGTGAGGTCACCGTGAATGAGGTCTTCATCGTGCATTCGAGCTAAGAGCTGCCCGACTGCCTTGGCTAAGCAGGACAGGCTCTGCAGAGCTTTTTCAGTGCCCACGGTGGATTGAATATAATCTCGAACAGTCACCGAGTCTTCGATTTCTTCCATATATAAACAGTTGGAAGCATAGTCCACAAAAAAGACAACTGGGGCAGAAATCCCTACAATTAAGACAGAAACCATACTGAGTCAGGTTTTATTTTTAATTGTAAGCTTACTTTTCAAAGATCAAGCCCGATGTTTACAGTTTGTATTTGCATATTTCAGCAAAAAAGATTTGGGAATGGGGAACTGGTGTGGCCTGGGACAGGTGAACGCCTGTGCCTAACATCACCCACAGGCAAGTGTAGGGGGGCCAAAACTTTCTCCTCCTTTCCCACACCGCCCTTTATGACTGGGCTTCGTTTCTCATACTTGCTCCCTACAAAACAAAACAAAACAAAACAAAACAAAACAAAACAAAACAAAACAAAACCAAGAGCCACAAGGGGTAGCCTGGCCTGGTCAGGCAGACATGCGCAGGGGGCCAAGCAGTATTCTGGCTTAGAGACTATCTTAGCAGTTAGAAAGGACAGAGTTCCAATCCCAGTTCCCTTCCTTATTAGTTATGTAACCTATGGGTTAGATTCTGAATACAACTTGAATTTCAGCCAAAATGTTCCGTAGAAGTGAGGATGCTGAGACTTCATCTCACATACTTTGGATGGTATCAGGAGGTATCAGTCCCTAGAGAAGGATATAATGCTTGGTAAAGCTGAGGGTGGGTGAGAGAAAGACCCTCAATGAAATGAACCGATACAGTGACAGCAACAATGGGCTCAAACATGACAACGATTGTGAGGGGCCTGGGACAACTGGTCACTATGGGCTGAAACTGACTCAAGCCACCTAACAATAACAAAATTACCTATTAACTCCCCCATGCCTCGGTTTCTGCTTCTATGACATATGAGAACAGTAGCTCCAGTAAGTGCCTTCAGTGCATCCATAGTAGAGTGTCAGCCACGCTCAGGACACTGTTTTAGATGTTGCTGTTGTGGTAAAGTGCCACTGAGTAGGTTCTGACTCAGAGCGACCCTGTCCAAGGTTTTCAGGGAGCGGCTGGTGGACTCAACTGCCAACCTTCCTGTTCAAACTAAGTTCTTATCCTATGGTACTACACCAAGACTCCTACTGTTGTAGTTAATGAGCTCTGGTAGCGTAATCATTACCACCTGGGTTGCTAACCTCAAGATCAGCAGTTTGAAACTACCAGTCGATCTGCGGGAGAAAGAAGAGGCTTTCTGCTCCTGTAAAAATTTACAGGCTCAGAAACCCTATGCAGGATCTCTATGAGTCGGAACCGACTTCATGGTACACCTCCTTCTATCCATCTATCCATAAGTGGATTGATTCAGCACTACACAAGGCAGCCACAGTCCTAGAGAGGGTGAGAATACAAACTGAACGCACAAATATGAAATCCTAAATCCAAGGAAGGCAGATAAGTGTCTGCTTGTTCACTACAGAATTCTTCCCATCTCTCCAGAGACCTAACAACCCCTTGATGTCCAGAATGTGTAGTAAACGAAAGAAAGAAGGGTAGGAAGTGCCAAAGTGCAAACCTAGTCTTTCCAAGTCAGACAGATATGGATGGCCTGGGGCTCTGGATCGGCCACTGACTAGTTGGGTGACTTGGCCAAGTTACAGCCCTTCACTGAGCCTCAGTTTCTCATCTGAAGACAAGATCTACAGGGGTAGGCACAAGCACACAATGGTGTTTTAATGGGGGTAGGGAAGAGAATGAATGAATACAATCTAATATTCAAGGAGCTCTGGGAGCGTAGTGGTTATGAATCGGGCTGTGAACCGCAAGGTCAGCAGTTCGAAACTACCAGCTGTTCCTTTGGAGAAAGATGAGGCTTTCTGCTCCCATAAAGATTTATAGCCTCGGAAACCCTGTACAGGGTCGCAATGATTCAGAACCGACTCCACGGCACATAACAACAACAAAATAAGCACCAGGTCACCTTTTAGGACAATTACGACTGGGTTCACAAAAACGACCAATACTACCCACGAATACTGCACTCCTTTGAAAAATAAAAAATCATCTATACGAGTCCAAAACGGTCAAAAACTACTTTTAAAAACAAAGATGGCCATGTATGGGGGCCGGGGCCGCAGGGAAACTCGATGAACGGAAACGGAACCACCAGAATAGAAACGAGACTGTTCATATGCTGTAAACAATATCACGGAACAATTAGTGTAGAATCTGTTAAACGAAACAAAGTACTGTGGATATTTTCGCCCCAAACACAATAACATACTAAAAACCAAAAAGAATAACAAGGAGATGAATGCTAGAAATTTGAGCTGTAGCGTGAGGAATACACAGGGGGAACCGATGTTAAGGAAGTTTAATATTAACAACAGGGCCAATATTTGAGTAACAGCGGCAGATAGATCCCGGATGGAAACCTAGAATATCGGATCCAGAGCACATGCTCCCTACAGCGAAGCCAGACAGTTTATAAAAATGAATGAAGAATGACAGGAAGAAGGTAGAAAACATAAAAGGAGTAACTGAGGCACGCCAAGACACGGAGCATTGGGGAGGCCCCACGCCCGCCGTCTTCCGGGCCTCGGAGCCTCAGGGGACCCCAGATCCCCGGAGCGGGGCAGCCTCACCTGCGCGGCGACAGCGGAGCAGCGCCCGGGCTTCCTGCACGGTCCGCCGCCGGCTAAGCCGCGCCTCCAGTACTGGGTGTCGGTAACCCTTGGGGAAGCGATGCTTCACCACGGCCGCGCGGCCCTGAAAGCGGCCTCGGAACACGCGCGCCTCCGCGCCCTGCTTCACCAGCTCTAGCCCGCTTAAGTAGCGGTTGCTCCGGTCCCGGGCCGCGGCCAGCGCCTCAGCCTCAGACGTTGGCTCCTCGCTCTTCTCAAGCGAGGTAGCGCTGGGCGCCGCCATGATCGCGCCTCAGAGTGGGCGCTCGGAGCTCCTCGGCTAGCTCCGTAAACTGTCGGCGATATTTCGGCTAGCTCCGGAAAGTCTCGGTCCTCCTCGGCTAGTCAAAGGGCCTTCAACACTTCCGCCTTTGCATGTGGTTGGTTTCCTAAGCTTTTGAGTCTTTCCAGAACGCCACTTGTGATCACATTTCCCAACTCCTCAGCTATCTCCATGAAGCCTCGGTGGTGGTGGTGGTTGTAGTTAAGGTTCCAACTCTAACCAACTCAGTATAGAGTTTTTTAATGTTGTAATTGTGAATTGATTGATAGTTTACATGGGTGAATATCAGTTTTAAACTCATTTTTTCATTGCAATGATTACAATCTCCTCCATGCATCATCATTCAACAGTATTTGCTTCCACTCCCTCTGTTTTGGAGTACACAAAAACACTCAGGAATCATTTAAACTACAAAAGAGCACATTCTGCAAGCCTGCCTCCTGTCCCACAGCACACAGCCTTTCTATTTCCATGAGTCTAGAGTCCTCAGCTGCTCCTTCTCTCCTCATCTCTGCCTCCATCTCTGGGGTCGCTACTTTTCTGGATACAGTCCCACATTCTGCTGTGCTCTTCTCCCTTGATGATCCTAGGGTCCTCTGTTCCTGTACTGTAAAATTCACTACTCTCCCCTTTTTATTACAAAATTTATACCTTTACAGTTGTGACAGTCACAATTAGTCATGATAACAATTACTATTGAATCATAAGAATCTTATCCCCATCTCCTTTCACCAGACCCATCTAGAAAAGATGAAAACTATTCAGTGGGGACTCTACCTCCTCCCACCCCCACCCCCCCCACACACACACTCTGATACTAAACTCCCTCTTGAAAACTTGTAAGCCAGTCACTTTGTGCCTTTATCGCCCCCTCATTTTAGGTAGCCAATGTCTCAGTTGCCAGTCCCTAACCACCCTGTATACAGAGGGAATAGGATTGATAACCTGATGTAAAGATTCCTTCCCTTTCAGTTGGTCTTTTGAGCCAGGACATCCATAAGTATAGGTCAAATTCATCAAATTGTAGCAATTTACACTTGTTTCCTTTATCAAAATAATCTTTTTATTTTCCTTTAGTTGAGTTCTGATCATCAAACCATCAAAGCTAGGTCGAATGGGTACTATCTGCAAGTTTGGGCATTCTTGTGATTCTCCCCTCATTTCATATCAGCTGGACACTTCACACTCAGAGGCTGATGATTTTGAACCTCTGACATTGTGGCTGGCAGTCCAGTGCTTATCTGACTGCACCACAGCTCTTGGAAAACAGCTCTTCTCTAGTCTCCCTCTCTTCATAAACTCAGGTGCTTCTCGTGGTGTCTTTGATGGCTGTCCTTCCCAGTTCCTCTCTTCTTTCCAGAAACGCCAGTATTTCTCGCTAATAAACTTCTCGGAATCTTTTTACAGTTTCTGAAAGTCTCTCCGTCCTGAGAAGCCACACTCCTTGGCCCTTTGCTCCTGAGTTCTAAGTGCTCAGATCATCCGTAGTTATGTTGTATAAAGTCACCACAAACCCTGAATTTTTAGACACAGCACCATTGCTCCTAGGGAAGACATGGCAAGATTAGTCTCCTGTGAACCTCTGGTCACAGCATTTTCATCAAGAAAAATCAGACCATTGGTGTTGAGTTGCTTCTGTCTCATAGCCACATCTCTTATTCTGTAGAACGGTCCCATATGGTTTCCCAGGCTGTCATCTTTACGCAGAGACTGTCACATCTTTGTCCTGCAAAGCAGCTGATGAGTTCATCCGCCTGACCTTTCTGTAGCGGTCAAGTGCTTTAACCATGTGCCACCAGGGCTCCTTAATCTATGCATAACCTTGCTTTATGTTTTTGTTAAGTGCCTCCGAGTTGGTACTGACTCAGCGACCTTATATACGGCTTCTAAGGAGAGACTGGTGTGTTTGAACTACCAACCTCACATTAGTAGTCCAATTCTTATCATACAGCATTTGAACTGCCGACCTCACATTAGTAGTTGAGTGCTTACCCTACAGTGCCACCTTATTTAACATCTCTTATTGATACATTAATATAGACCTCATGGCCAACTCCTATAACTCATGACTGAACGAAGTTTGTGTAAATGCATGCATTTTTTCATGAGGTGTAACATAGCTTTCTTGCACTAACGAAGCCTAGACAGCGTTTCAGGGGCCATTTTGATAGTAAAATCATCAACGAAAAGCACCAAATACGAAAGAATGCCACTAAATTGACCAAAAAAGGAACTTGTTTTATAGTTGTTGTTAAGTGCTGTCAAATCGACTCATAGTGACAGAGTTTCCGAGGAGTAGCTGGTGGGTTTGAACTACCAAACTTGTGGTTCGCAGTCCAGTGCTGATCTTACAGTGCCACACCAAAAGGAGGGTAGACATGTACACTTGGACAATTCAAATGTTTTACTGTGCTGCAGACATCTCCAAATGAGGCAAAAGCAACCTGAGTATTGCCCATTTGAGTGAATGGTAAAATTCACAAATATAGTATCTGATTTTTAAATTGTTAAATTAATACCACAAAAACACAGCAAAGTCACTGCCATCCAGTCGGTTCTGACTCATAGCAACCATGTATAGGGGTTCTGAGGCTGTACATCTTTACAGGATCAGAAAGTCTCGTCTTTCTCCCTCAGAGCAGGTGGTGGGTTTGAACTGCTGACCTTGCAATTAACAATCCAGTACTTGACCTGCAGCGCCACCAGGGATCCTAAGCTAATACAGGCTGTGACAAATTCTTACAGTATTTTGCACACACCAAAACAATCAAAGAGTGTCTATCCCCCTGCCCCCAGCTCAAGATTCCTTTCTTCCAATCATTTAATAAAGTTTATTTCCAGATTTAAAAAAATAGATTGGCTACTCTCACACATGTATGTTACTGATTTCTGCTGTGTCAGATCTGACTAACGGTGACATTATAGCATTAAATGATGTGTAGTCCCATGCCTACTCCATAATCTTTGATATGTTTGACCTATGGCCCCAACATAAATGATATCATCCTATGCATTCTTTTCCAATATTCACGTTTTTTCTCCCTAGGCAATTTTTCTTGGATAATTTTCCCTATCACTATATATAAAACTGGAGTCTTGGTGTGGTTCTGTAGGTTAGTGCACCAGACTGCAAAGCCGTTTGAACTGCAAGGTCGGTGGTTCAAACTCACCAGCAGCTCCTCGGAAACCCTGTACAGTGTTGCTGTGGGTTGGAACCGACTCGACGGCACTTTCAACAATAACAAAATAATTAAAAATGGAGTCCTGGTGTGGTACTGTGGGTTAATGCGCTGAACTCCACCTAACAACAACAATATTTAAAACTGCCATATCTTACTTGCTTTTAAGGTATTTTGGGGTTCCCTCCCCATTTTTGTTTTGTCTTCTTTTACACGCAATGCTGCAATGAGTAGCTTACCCAGCCATCTTTGCATAATACACGACTGTTTCTGAGGACTTCTTTCTAAAAGTGTTGTGGCTGGGACATAGCAGATGAACATCTTAATATACGACCCATTAGCCAAACTGCCCTCTCAGTTTTGTGCCTATCTACTCTCCTGATTAGCTTGAGTCTAATCTCACTTTACCTTTATCAAAACTGATTTTCCCAGGTCATAAAAGTCTCTCCAGTGGAGGAGTAGAAAGATGGTCAGGTTACATGCAGGAAGAACAGACACAGGCCAAGGCTTAAGTTGGAGAAGGTGCATGGTGGCCCTGGGGACAGGCTGAGAGCTGAAAGGGCAGGAGCTGTGACCTGGTTCCCAAGGACCCTGTGCTAGAAGGAGGTGCTTCAAGATTGGGGTGATAACCAGGAGTATGCCTGAGACCCCCACCTTTGTGGGATGGGCAGGTGAGCGTTGGTAGAAAAGCAAAGCCTAGGAGGGTGGGGCTTCTACTTTTCAGACCTGAGCCTTCTTTGAGCCTACTGCTGGCCCTAAAGGTAGCCTTGTAGCCTCTCCCTTACTTCCTACCCATCAGCACCAGATGCCCATTCATTCATTCATTCATTCATTCATTCATTCATTCATTTAACAAATACCTACTGAGTGATTATAATATTCCAGCCCTGTGCCAGCTGCTCTGGGTCACTATATAGGGTCCGGGAGTCCTAGTGTGGCGCTGTGGGATAAAGCACAAGGTCAGCTTGAACTGCAAAGCTTGCAGTTCAAATCACCATCTGCTCCTCAGAAACCCTGTACACAGTCCTCAGAAACCCTGTATACAGTCGATCGGAGCTGACTCGATGGCACTTAACAACAACAACATAGGGCCATCATGAGTCTGAATCCACTCAGTGACAATGGTGGGTGGTAGATTCTGGAGGTACAGCAGTGAACAAAACAGAAACTGTCCCGCCCTCATGTGTTTCAGAGAAGGACTGTGCTTCATGAGTTTTCATTGGCTGTGGTCTTTCAGAGGAGCCTGGAGGAGCAGTAGGTAAGTGCTTTGTTGCTAATAAAAGGTCAGCAGTTTGAACCCACTAATCACTCTGTAGGAGAAAGATGTGGCAATCTGCTTCCGGAAAGGTTACACTTTAACTCTATCCTGGTGTGGCACTGTAGGATCAGCACTGCACTGCGAACCTCAAGGTCAGCAGTTCAAACCCACCAGCTTCTCTTTGGAAACCCAATGCAGGTCGCTATGAGTCATAACTGACTCGATGTTACTTAGCAACAACAACAAAAACAGAGTGACTATGACTTAGAATTGATTTAAGCGATCCTTTGGGAGTAGATTATCAGACCTTTTCTCCAAGGTGCCTTTGGGTGGATTTGAACCGCCAACGTTTCAGTTAGTGAGCACTTAACTGCACCACACTAGGACACCAAAGCTAAAAATAGCAACTTAAATATGAGAGATGTTCATTTCTCTCAATTAGCAGGCAGTCCAATGCTTGCAGGCCAATCTCTCACTCTCAGCCTTTAGCTTTCTCCTCTAAAGTAAGGTGGCAATGCTATTTT